GGTTTCACTATGTAGCCCTGGCTATCTTGGAACTCACTGCATAGACCAGGCTGGACTCAAATTCACAGAGATCCACCTGTTCCTGCCTGTGCTAGGATTAAAGGTGTGCACCACCACTGTCTGGCTTACATTCCCATTTTAAATTCCAAGTCTGGGGCTGGAGAGATGGCTCAGTGGTTAAGAGCACTGGCTGCTGTCCCAGATGACCCAGGTTCAATTCCCAGCACTTACATGGCAGCTCACAACTGTCTGTAATTGCAGGATCCAACACCCTCACATAGACATACATGCAGGCAAAACACCAACATGCATAAATAAAAATAAATAAATTTAAAAAATTCCTAGTCTTTAAGGCTTTTTCTTGGAGACCAATGCCACGTTGGTATCATATTGAGGCTTTGGATGCAATCTGTTGGATAATTAAGACAGGCTCTTCCTGCCTATCTCCCCAGAGGTCCTTACCTGGTCTGGATGTTCAGCCTAGTCTTGTCTTTTTCCAGTCTTGATCTCATTCTTGCAGTTTTATCTAAGAGCTTGAGCACTAACTATATGGAACAAGAATATTGTGAATGGGAACTATGATGATTTAAATAAGAATGGCCCCCATGAGCTCATATATTTGAATGCTTAATCACTGGGGAGTGGCACCACTTGAGAAGGATTAAGAGGTGTGGCCTTTTTGGAGGAACTGGGATGAGCTTTCGAAGTTATAGTCCTCCCTGGGATGCCTGGGCTCAGGCCTGTGATTCCTCTCCAAACCCATGGGAACTGTGTCATTGGCTATACTTCCAACCTCCTCCTTGGGATACCTTTTGGACATGAGAGAGCTAGCCCTGCTCCTTGCCTTCTATTCTTCAGACCTGTATCACAATAGGATGTTGAACTTTGGAAAAGGACTTTTCTGTAGTTATAGAGATGTGGATATTTACATGGGTATTGTGTGGTTTCTGTCCTTAAGTGTATCTATGCTGTCACATTATATTTATTGATTTATTTATGTTGACCCAATCCTGTAACCATGGAAGAAAACCAGCTTGGTCATGGTATACAATCTTTTTAAAGTGTTCTATAACTTGCAAGTATTTTTTTTTAATTTTTTTGAGATAATAACATCATTCCTCCCTTCCATTTCCTCCCTCTAAGCCATCCCATATACTCTCCTTACTCCCTTTTAAATTCATGGTCTTTTTATTTTGAAAGTTTTTTTTTTTTTATTGCAGCTATGTCCATCAGAGAAAGTGATCTAAACATTTTCTCTTTGGGTTGTATTCTTATGTGGTTTTCATATTGGTGTAATAGTGGCTTCATAGAGCATGTTTGTGGGTATCTTCTCCTTTCTGATTTATGGGGAAGTTTGAAGAGTGTTGATATTAGCTCTTCTTTAAAAGTTCACTACGATTTGGCAATGAAGCTATCCAGTTATGGGTTTTCTTGTGAGGAGTCTTAACCACTGTCTTTGTCTCATTGCACATTACAAGGCTATTAAATAGTTTTATTTGTCTTGCTTTCACAAAGCCTGAGGCACTGACTTTTGCACCAAATATATGTTCTCTTAGCACCCATTATGGAGGAGTAGACTTGACCCACTGAAACCCACTTTATTAACATCAATGTTGATGTTTAAAACACACCACCATATAGTATTTCTTATGGCTGGAACCACATAATGAAGCAGAAGCACAGAGCCTCTTGTCAGTATTACTTAAATTGAAAAGATAGAGTGTATATATCTATCCAACAGATGGATATTCACATAGTGTGGTTTAGTACACCAAGCTAGTTATGATTTGTTATTATTTATGTTTATATGAGCTGTTAAAATAGTATTGCTTCTAGATCTATTTATGAAGGATTTATTTCTTAACCTCTTTATTTCTAAAGTCACATCTTGATCATCTTCTAGTCTTAGTCTTCTATTTAAGGCCAGGACTTACGAAAACAAGGTCTCCCATCCTACTAGGTTGTGGGTTGGTCTGATGCTTGTATTTTGATGCTAATTACTGGGCCTCAAGATCTGGTTACTGCCCTATCCTTGTTGTGTAAACCTGCCTAAGACATTATTCCTGATTGATTAATAAAAAGGCCTGTAACTGGGCAGGACTGAAGAATGGCTGTTTTCCCGGGTTTGGGGTAGGAGAATTGCAGAAAGGAGACAGACAGACAGATGGGAAGAAAAGAGGAAGGAGTAAACAATGATGGGTTAGCATGGAGAAGTAACTACACCATATGGGCCAGGAGAAAGGACTCCAAGAATAGCATGGAAAGAAACACAAAGATGAAAAATATAAGCAAGTATTTATAAAATTATGGATGGAAGGTAGCCAAGATAGGAATGGTTAAGGGGTATGGCATGGGATTTGGGCTGGGAGATTATTGAGATAACATAGGTGGAATTATATGCCCAGCCCAAGGTAATTATAAAATCTAAAAGGTGTCGTATTGATTGTGATAAAGGGTTAAATAATACCACCATAATTATTATTAGGGCAAATAAGAAATGTTAGTTAGTCCGATATCATTTATCATCAACAACACTGAACACTGCTAGAATATGTCCCATGTACTTAATATCTCTGATTATTTTCCAGTCTGCTTCTAGAGGTCATACTCTAATCTTGGGATGAACAATCATTGGTAAATCTGACTATAGGCTCCCAGAGCTAAGTGTGCTTACAGTCCTAGAATAGGACCTGAGGGTTGGTCTAGAAGATAGGACAGGGCCTAGAGTGGGAACAGGAGTAAGAAAGAAGGGCCACATCATTGATTAGGTTTTTAGTAGTCTGAATATTCTAAAAATCCATTCGAGTATTTCTGGTCAGTATTAATAGACATGAAAAAGATAAACCATTGTATAAAACATGTTGGGGGATCTTTGTTTGTTTTTTGAGACAGGGTTTCTCAGTGTAACTCTGGCTGTCCTGGAACTTGCTCTGTAGACCAGGCTGACCTTAACTTCAGAGATTCCCCTGCCTCTGCCTCCCAAGTGCTGGGATTAAAGACATGAGTCACCACTGCCAGGCCCATAAGGCATGTTTTATTAATTGATTTAAATGTGGATTTCCCCAACTGAGCTCTGGTTCTGAAACTCAGCTAATTGTGCCACTAACCAGACTAAATAAATAGTTGTTATAATTCTTTTGCTTCCTTCACTGTGCACCATTCACTTTTACATGAACCCAGTTGCTCCATGATTTTGAAAATGGCTGTTTCATAAGTCCATCTTTGTGTAAGACTTAGACTCAGTCCTCAAGCTGGATGGTTTATAGCCATTCTGTACCATGTCCCTTCTTCTACCCAAGAGAGGCACACTTGGAAGCCATCAGCTTTGTCAGTCACATCAGTGAGGAGACTACTTCTATACAAAGCAACCTCTTAAAATGTTGCTCCGGTGACAATATTCAGTTTGAATGGTCAGTATTCTATTTCCCTTCCTCCCTCATTTCCCAGAATGAAATGGACTACAGGATAGACTTTATTGAATTTATTTGCTTTGCATTAATCAAGAAAGCTAAAAGAAACAAGAAAACTTATCAGAATACATTTTAGGCATTGAAAAAAACTTAAACTTATGATTTAAAACTGAATTTTGTTAGTAGTGGAAGACATATTAATGGGGATTTCTCATAGTGAAAACAATGTAATGGAGGTATAGGCAAAAATGAGAAAGGGAAGTGTTAGAACTAATATACTAGGATTCCCTATGTTAAAAGCATTGGTTTAAACAAACTATTCACTATGTGAATATAAATGGAATGAAATCCAGTCGATCAAAAATTTAACATTAGCAAAAGGGCAACAGCTAGAGGATAAGGAGTTGTTTTATAGATTAAATGAAAAATCCAGCATGTTGTTGTACAACATCTCATTATACCATCGTCAGCAAAAACCCAGCACTAATTATTTAAGCAAGCTATAGAATCTCATTGCTTCTCTAGACTTGGTTTTGAATGGGAAAGCATCCAATATAGATGTTCAAGGCTGCATTTCTGCGTAAGCAAACCAAGCACGAAGTGACAGAAATAGATGTCCTTTGGATCTAGAAAAATGAACAAAGTTTACTGTTAAGGTATCTAAGGGTAGCTCTCATAATTTTTGCTGGACTTGAGAGAAAAAATGTGGAGAGTTTAAAAATGAAAAGGTTAATTAAGTTGAGAAAACCCACCCACCATAGGTGACCTCATTCCCTAGGCTTGGAACTTCAGAGGGGGAATATATCCATACATACATACATACATACATACATACATACATACATACATACATACACACACACACACAAACACACACACAAACACACACACACACACACACACAAATGGGAGAACATGAGTTGAGAACAAGATTTTTTCATTACTTTCATTTCTCGCCTGGAAAAGCAATGTGACCACCTTCCTCAAGTTCCTGCTGCCAGAAATTCCCTGCAGTGGTAGACTTTATATTTGAACTTTAAGCCAAAATAAGCCCTTTCTCCATTAGGTTAATTTTATCTGAGAATTTATTACATCAACAGAAAAAGTAACTAAGACTCTGAGTTACAGAGTATCTCTGCCCTAAGCCTGGAGCCAGAGAGGAAGGTCACTCCCCAAAGGCACCAGCACAGTCTAACAAGAGAATTTGCCATCTGCCTGGTGGAAAGTACATTCATTCCCTAGGCTAAATCACCTGAATCTTTCCACTAAAATTGTTTGTTGAAGCAAATGGCAATCTTTAAGTTTCTGAAACAAAATACAATTGTTTTCTTTCTTCTAAGGCACAATGTCTAAAGTTAATGACTTTACAATTCTCTAGCATAGGTTTTCTGGAGAACATGCTGGATTTGGGAATGCTGATAGTAATTTACTGAGGGTAGACATTAGTAGCATTTATTTCACTCAAGTAATTAAAATGTTAATTTCTACTTCTAAAGTTATTTTTTAAACCCTAGTAAAGATTATTATGTGGAATCACCACAGCTACTGGCAATTATTATTGAAAATGCTGATGCTTCATCCAGGAGCTATTTATTGCATGATCTCTGCCATTTGACTCCATGCTTTGGCTTTCTTCTTGGCCACTGAAAACCACACAGGCTCCTCGGGTGGTGTAAATTTAGGTGGAAGACTTGAAGATCTCCTGGTCTCTTTTTCCCTGGTATATGTATGAAATATCTTCTGATCATCAAATGCAACTGAAATCATAGAAAACAACACACAGTCATAAAACCCAGAGACCCCGGAATATATTCAAAGACAAAATGAAATGAACCATCCTTTCAGATTTTCTCTGATCACCTAGCTCTTACTACTTTCCAACCACTGTTCTTCCAGAAGTCAGACTTCTAAAAGTCAGTGCTTGGTCAAATGCCACAATAAGTATGTCCAGAATCAACATCAACATGGATATGGCTATAGCCATGGGAAAGGATGTGAGGCAATTCCTGCAATTCAGTCAATGTTTTGACTTTTATTATTTGATTATCTTATACTTTTGAACTCACAACCAAAGGGAAACATATTATACCTATTCATTTTTTTATTTCAGATATGTTTTTAGCAGTCACTGACAATGTGAAATCAAATGACTGATGACTCAATAGATCTATCTAATAAAACCCTATGAAAAAATTCTCTGCCAACTATTGTGGCCAAACAGACTACTCTCTGTTTTTCAACTACACTTTCTCCCTCATCTTGTTCTATGGCTGAATAACTCAGTGGCTTTGACTAAACCAATGGTTCTAAATTCTAATTACATCTTGGAAACACCCAGGAATCTTTTAAAAATTATAATGCATCTGAGTGTGATAGCACATGCTTGTAATTCCATCACTTGGGAGGCTGCAACAGGAGGACCAGAATATTGATGTTCTAGCTTGGGGGAAAAATCAAAAGACAACTACAACAACCAAAAAATAAAAAATAAAATAAACACACACACACACACACACACACACACACACACACACAGTTAGTAGCAGTGCTCATAAAACTAACTGAATAGGTAGGGGTGGAGTCAGGGCCATCTATCATTTACAAACTTCCTGGTGGTTCTATTGTCCAGGAGAATTGAGAACTACATTTCAGAAATATACTGCTCATAAGACATGGAGCAAGATGATGACTGCTACTCCCACAGCCAAATAATGGGCTCTTGAGTGTCTAGTCTAATATTTTTTCATAGAAAGGACTAACAGGGAAGTCAAAGCTGAATGTAAAGCCATCCCCACTTCTTCAGCACATAACTCTAACTGATGAGTTACACTCCATTATTTCCCATCACATTTATTTGCAACAGTCAGAATATCCTCACCTCTCACACCCCTAGTCAGAATATAGAAAGTATGAAGAAAGCTTTTTCAATAGTTAAACATTAATCAACAGTACTGGGCCTTTATAGTAGATTTTTTTAACAGTTTCATTGAGATTAGAACAGGTAAAAAAAAAATACTGCTTTACTATCAGCTAGTAAGGGACTTGGTACTTTCCTGTTCTACCCAGCCACAAGAATGTCTTGTGCTTGGCCTTGACAGCTTCTTCAGTGAGGTGAGAAATTAGAAAGAGCTATGGAAATTGCATGCTGTACTGAGATGTAACAATTGGATTTTCTTAAAGTGAGTAAATATCTGTTGCTTTTCGTAGAGGAGACATAAAAGAATCATGAAGCTGCTTTAGGAAATAAGAGAGCCACAATGACTGAACTTGAAATAGCAAATCATTTCACCACATTTCTCCATGGCTATTTTTGACAGGTCAGAATGAGTGCTTTCACCTGGTTTTGTAGACTTAGACACCCTTAACTTTGCCAACTCATGTCTGGGAATAATGGTAGAAAAAATCGTCTTTGCTGGGGTATCAGTTTTGTGTTTAGGTTCCTGTAATACCAAAATAAAAACAAAATCTTTGTAAGTCCCAACAATAAAGACAACAAATTATTTAGACGATTGCATGGTACAAGCTTTGTTCTGGGTACGTACTTAAGTTCAACAGTAATCAGAAAAAAATAGATATAGGATATATATAATGATGCAGAATTATATATATAGATAGAAATATATAAGTATAGAAATTAATTATATCATAACAAATGATAGTATAAAGCTCCTTGGGCTTGGAATACATACATACATACATACATACACACATACAATTTTATTATTTATTTGGAATATATTACTTAATGATTTTTTTATTTTATGTGTACAAGTGTTTAGCTGCATAGGTGTGTGTACCACAGACACTGCCTCTGAGGTTAGAAGAGAGTATTGCATGCCTGAAAGTTGAGTTACAGATGTTCATGAGCCACTATATGGGTGCTGGAAACTGAACCCATATTCTCTGCAAGAGCACCAAATGCTCACAGCCACTGAGCAATCTCTCTATCTCCAGAATTTATTAACAAACTAACTCATTTAACACCTTTATTTTAGACTTGGAAGAAAAGTTATATAGTCACACAGAGTGTAAACAGATTGATATGAGAATACCTTCTCTCTTGCCTGTGGCCATACCACCCTGACTGTGCTGATCTCTGCTGATCTCAAAAGTTAAACAGAGCCAGACCTGGGGATTATTTGGATGGTAGAAAAACCTTCTCTGTAGCATTGTACCAGTTCTTAGTTGTGAGCTAATATAATGTGATGGTCACAAACAAATCTGATCATTTGGTTGAAGTGATATTATAAAGACTTCTACCTTCCACGTTTTCTGCAGATTTTCTAAGGAAAACAAGGCATCATTTAAATGCCTACTATCCTCATGTCTAGTCCATCCTGTAACGTTTTTAAAATCTATAGGTAGGTATGAAACTAAACCAAATCTGTATGTAGAAACGCAAGTATCAACACCTAAACTTTATACATTTTTAGGGACTTATATGGAAAGCATGCATAATGAAACATTGGATGAAAAAGCTACCTTTTCCCTGTGGTATCTCTTCCCACATGGGAAGATAATAACACATGGTCAATCATAGTCCAAAAATATTCAATAAAATTTTTTATAAATAAACAGTTGATAAACTTTACATTGAATGCCATTCCTAGCAGCCCAGAATTCTCATCCCTTCCCATCCGCACCTGGCTGAAATCTTTCCTTTGTCTAGCATCCAAACACTGTGTGCTCATGTCTTTTGCCTCGTCCTTAGCTGTCTCAAATGTCTGATGCCCTGTGATGGTTTCATCATAGGGTTTGTGTTCAGGTAACCCTTATTTCACATATAATAGCCAAAAAAAAAGTGCCAGAGTAATGATGCTGGCCATCCAGATACAAGAAAGAAGCCAGGAAGTGCTTCCATTACACGAATAAGCAAGAATCCTGGACTTACTAAGAAAATTGTAAAACATTATATATCGAGGTTGCTAAAAATCCATATTAAGAACATATCTAATTTTGAAATTAGGAAGAATGAAAGCTTTGAGCTCAGATTTGAAAAGTTAAGAGCCACAGTGTATAAGTAATGATTGAAAAGGAAAAGGACATTCAATTACATGGCTCTTGACTGTGTGCAGCTCCAGGCATCCAGAGAAAATACTGTAATGTATTCTCTGGGAATAAAGAGGCCTACTGTGTTTATAGTTTAATTCTCATTTATGAAAATTTATTTTAAATGTATATACAGTATTTGAAAGCATATAGTCACTCATTTTTTACCCTACTGGTTATCTCTGATTTGTTGATGTTGTTTGTAGTAATGGGGCTATTATTGATTTGTCTACTTCTCTTTCAACAACTAATTTCATTGAATTCTGCTTTAGAATATTTAGGGCAGGGTTTGATTTATAGACTCTCCTCATATACATCACTTTTCATAAGCCCTGTAAGAGCATCAACACAGTCATATTTGTGTGAATACAAAATAAAGACCCTTGAAGAATTGTCCTTCATTAATGCTCCCAATACGAGACAGCGACTTCATTTCTGTCATAATTTCCAGTGCAAACTTAATCAGCAATTCCACTAACCTTTGGTAGTAATTCCGAGTCTGGATCATATTTTGATTCATACCTAGGTTCCTTAGTCTCAGCCCTAATTTCAGCTCTATTCCTGGGTTTTTTAGCAAAGTAGGATGGAATGCCCCTTTGCCTCTGTTTTGCCACAGTGATACAACCTGACTCTGTCGTTGAATCTGCCTTCCAATTAGAAGTGTTTCCTGGGAAAGAAAGAAAAAAAATTAGAACTGAACCCTGGCAGAAAGGGTCTTCACTCTGGTTGAGGTTGCTCACAGTAGTGCTCCAAATAGGATCTTTTTTGGTTGCCAAGCAAAAGTAAATAGATTTCAATTAGAGAAGGGCTATTCTCTTTTGTACCTTTCCTAAAAAGTGAGAAGGGAGGATAGAGTAGTTAAATAGCTGTGCTTTACAAGCAGCTCAGTCTCCATGTGGATCTCTGAGTGAGAGGAGCAGGGGCTGCCTCTATCATGAACTCATTTGACTGTTCTTTGATCACTAGCTCCTGATGATGTGGACTTACTAGGCCACAGAGGAAGGGGATCCAGGCAGTCCTGATGAGATTTAACAAGCTATGGGCAGATGGCAATAGTAGAGAACTCGCCCTTTCAGTTGACTAGGGGAAGGGGATAGGGAGGAAGAGAGAGGGAGGGTGGGACTGGGAGGAATTGAGGGAGGGGGCCTCAATCAGGGTATATAATGAATAAATTGTGAATAAAAAATATAAATGGGCATACTGTCCCTTACTTGACATTTTATTTCCTTTAGCCATCTCACTTCCCATCCATAAATCAGGACAGGACAATGGTTGACAGGTAGGGTGAGATAACTCTCAAGACATCAGAAGCTCAGACCATTGATATAATTCCCCCAACTCTAAGAAAAAATCTTACAGAATTTGTTACTTCTTCATCCCTTGTGCAAATATCATGGTGAAATAGGTATGATTGGAGGCAGCGACAAGACTATGTATAGATGATACTTAGGGTACAACATTTTTAGGAAATAATAGCATTTATAAGGTCACCTTAAATCATGGTGATTTCAGAGTAAGAATGTAAACATATTGCTCTTAACAGACTGGGTTTTGAACACCTGTTTTGAAGGTAAAAGTAACATGAAGTATGTAAAGTGGTTATTTTTTATAAACCACATAATTCTGCCCAAAGTATACTACATATAAGGTAGATGGAGAAGGAAGAGGAGGTGATCATGAAAACTTAATGGATCTCCTGACTGCTGCCTCCTTGGGAAAAGGGAGACTCCAAAGGAGTTACTTCTGAATGTATTCATCCAGAATGGAATACTATCCCACCTCTAAATTCACAAATAATCCTGCCAAAGCAACAGTACAGTTGGAAACCTAGAGACTAGAGAGTTCACAGCCCACTCATGCAAGGCTTGGCCTTACAGGTCTTCCCTCTACCTGAAGACAAATCTCTCACCTGGAGGCTTGTAAACTGCTGGTTTCTTGAAAATGCCTTGATATCTGGGCCTGTTCCCTTGCTTTTCCACAAAGCTAAACTTTGTTGGGCTAAACTTCTCTGGGCCTCTACTGAGGTCCTGGAGATCTTCTTTGTTCACCGATTCTTTGCTTATTGACGATGAAACTGGGACAAATGATGTGAAAAGATCTGGTTTCTCCATCCCACTCTTTTGTGAGATTCTTCGCAGTCGCACTCCAAAAATGTTTTCGACCTCAGTCTCTCTGGTGGATAGGATTGAAGGACTCTCATTTCCATCACGACTCTGAGGAACTTCCTCCTTAGAATTAATGCCCTGGGAAACGAATGCTTTCTGGTCAGGAACAGTAGTGAATGTGCCAGGTTTGGTATCAGAAATCAAGGTGATTTTAGGTAAGTCCTCATAGCCTTTACTGTATTTCATGGACTTTGTTGAAGAAGCTGGGGCTTTTGGCATGGACCAGCTGCCAGTATTCTTTTCAGAAATGGTTCCTTCAGCAGCAGAATTGGCAGAACTTAAATAAACTTGTTGCTGATAGTCAGTGATCAAGACAGCCTCAATAGGCTGACCGGGATGCCGATGTTCTTCAGGACTCCTCCACTCCACAGGAACATTTGCGGAGCCTGTTGATAACTTCGGTGGCTGCAACCCAGACACTTGGAAGGCTTGAGAAGGCTCTGTGAACTGTAGCTGTCCTTCAGACTTCTTCCACTCTTCAGGAAAATTGACAGAAACTGAGACTTTCTGCCTGTACTCAAGCTTACGCCGGGGCTGGGAGATGTCTTCTGCAGAACTGCTCCTCTTCATAGGGGCACCCTCAGAATATGGCAGAACTTCTTGAGGCTTTTCAGGCTCTCTGAGCAACTGAGAAGGCTGTTGTATGAGCAGATTCTTCACACTGGTGTATTCCGTGGGTTCCTTGTCCCAGTTATAAAAGAAAACTTGTTCATCGAGTTTAGGCTTCAACAGGGATCTGGATGGACGGCTGCGGCTCCGAATCATGGGCTTTGCATAAATACCTAGTTTATTAGCATTGCTTGCTGAAAATACTTGCTGTACCATAAACTTCACAAATGACTGGGAAGGAGCTGTGCTCTTCTGTGGTTTATCGGAGCTGTCTTGAGGGTCAGCACCCTCAAGACGAGTGGACAGTTCCTGAATTTTAGATCTCATTAAGAATGAGATGGGATGTTTGGAAGGCAGTGGCTTGCGAAGAATGCCTCCCTCAGTAGAGGGACTCTCAAAATTTGACGGTGTTTTCTGGACTTCATGTTTGGTAATGGTTTGGAAAGGATGTCCCGAAAGACATGCCTCCTTGTAAGGGTTCCACTCTTCGTCAACAACTTCTGGATTTGAGGCTTGTTGCTCAAATTCAGGGCCTAAGCACAGCTGAGGAGCATTTTTGGAAGGCGTTGACTCCGTAGGAAGGCTCCATTCTCCAGAAGCTCTCACTGAATCTGGGGAATCATCTTCTTTGGATTCTGAGCTCATGGAGGTGGAAGAATGATGCCTTCCTGGCCTTATCATTGTATTAACTCCCTTCTCTGCTGTATAGCTCTCTGGATCTGCTCTTGGCTGGAAACGGAATCTGGAAGGCATTAGCTCCACAGAGCTGCTCTGTGGCACAGAAACACTTACTAACTCGGTGGAGACTGTCCCCATCAAGGGCTGAGAAGGCATTATGGGAGGTGGTGGAGCAATAGGAATGCCCCATGCAGCAGCAGCAGCGGCGGCGGCTGGGGCGGCAGCTGCAGCAGCAGCAGCAGCACTGTCTGAAGGTGCAGAGCAATGTTCAAATGGAGTAGCCTGCCATGGCTGCAAAGGGTGTCTAGTAGACATTGGCTCTACAGAGATGATCTGTTGTGCAGGTGTGTTCATGGATCCTGTGGAGACTGGTTGTTTGATTACAGATCCCATCAAGGGCTGAGAAGGCATTCTGGGAGCTGCTGAATAAATAGGAATGGCCCATGCAACAGGAACAGTGCCTGGGAGTATAGACCTTTGCTCAAAGGTAGGGGCCACCGATGCATCAGAAGGACTTCTGGGAGGAACTAGTTGCATGGATATGCTCCCTTGGGCCTCAAGGCTCTCTGGAGCTGTGGGAACTTGCATAAATTTAGGGTTTGCCTGTGTTTGAAAGATATGCTGAGGCGATAGTGCCTCCATAGAACTGCTCCATAGGGTGGAAGTGCTCACTGAATCTTGGCTCATCTGTGGCTGGAATTTGGACTTCACTGAAGGCTGAGGGGGAAGAGGCTCCACCACAGTGGCGCCTTCTATAGAGGTGCTTTCTGAGACTAGTTGGCTTTGAGGACTTGGTAAGGACTGAGCAGGATATGTTGAGCGCATTGGGTCCATGGACATCATCTTAGCAGCAACAGCCTTGGATTCTAAAGGCACATTTTGATAAGGCTGCAGCATAGGCTGGGGAAGTGTCTGAGGCACATGCTCCAAAGAAGTGTTCCCTTCAAATGCTGTGCTCTCTGGAGCTAAAGAAAATGATTGCATCCCTTGAAGCTTCATCTGTGGCTGGAAAAAGTGCATTGCAAACCTTGGATCCATAGAAATCCCTCTGTAGGATGCTTGTTGCTGGATGAAGGGATTCAACAGTGGCTGAAGATGATGCTGAGGAGGCAAGGGCTCTATGGAAGCACATCCCTCAAATGCATCACTTTCTGCACCCAACAATATTTCTTTCTTGATGCTTTGTTGCACAGAGGACTGGGAAGGTTGTCTGAGAGTCTGTGCAGCAACACTCTCTTCAAAAATGGCAACTTCTGGGCCTGCAGAAACTTCTTGCTCAAACACTGGTCTGGTTGGGGGCTGAAAATTATGTCTGAGAAACAGTACCTCCATAGAAGCTGCCTCTTCCATGGTCGCAACATCTGAATAGGCGGGAATGTTTTGCTCATCATGGTGCCCCACTGGGTGCTTAGAAGCCTTTTTAGGGGACAGTGGCTGCATAAAAATGTCCCAGTCGGCAGCCACACCCTCTAACTCTACAAATTCTTGATGCTCAGCCTGAGTGCTCAACCATGACTCCATAGTGTGGCTGGGAGGCAATGTCTCCATAGATCTGCTCTGTCCCATAGAAATGTTCATTGTGGTGGGGGTTTGTTGTTGACTAATAGAACTCACCATGGGTGAAGAAGTGGTCTTGGGAAGCACCGGCTTGGCAGAAACACTCCGCTCTTTTGGAACACTCTTTGAAACTGGGACTGCTTCTTGCTGGTCTCTGAACTGACCTGAAGCCTGCTCTGAGCTGGTCAGATCCTCAGAGCTGTGGTACTTCTCCATGTAACTACTTGATTCTGTGGAAGCTTCCTTTTCCTCAGACACCTGCACGGCCTGTGAATGGCAGGTGGGAGTCAGCTGCTCTTCAGAGATGGAACCTAGGGCGAAACTTTTTGATTCTGAGCATTCTTCAAAGTCCTCCAAGGAATGGGAAGAGTGAGATGTCAGTTCCTCACAACTTCTCTCATCTTCTGAAGAACTCTGTGGCTCTGAAAAGCCTTCTCTAGCTCCGGGTTTCCCTAATGACTGGGGGGAATATCTGAGAGGCTGCTGCTGCTCCATCATGCTCGGTCCTGCATCTACACTTTCTGATTTGAGGAAGACATCATCGTCATCATCATCATCCTCACCATCATCATCTTTAGCCTGGAAAGGATGTGTAGGATCCAGCTGCATTTCAGAACTACTCTCATACTCTGAGGTACTCTTTGAATCTGAGGAGATATCCCTTGCATTTGGCCACCTTCTGAGAGGGAAAGGTGATATCTGTGTAGAAACATCACCTTCTGTTGTAGCACTTGAAATGCTTGCAGAAAGGGCCCTGAAACCACTTCTGGAATGCCTCTTTTTGTTGGAAGTTGTGCTCTCCAAGGATAATTCCATTTTGGGTTGACATTTCTGCGAACCAGGGCTGGATGCTTTTTCTTCTTCTCCATGGACTTTACTCAAGACAGTGGCCTCTTCTGGGCTGGTAGAAGATTTTTGTGTCCATGGCAACATAGCAGCTCTATTCTTTCTCTTCTTGCCTTCAGAAGACCTATCTTCTTGGCACCGTGGTGAACCACTGACCAAGGACTCCACTACATCTGTAGGTATAGGTTGTGGTGCTAGCGCTCCTTGAGCTTCAACATCTATGTCACCCATTTCCCTCTTCATACCCCCTTTATCTGACAGCATCTCCTCAGAACGAGCAATTTTTGATTCTGTGGTTGTTTGTTGTGCTGTGCCTTTCTTCTCCAAGAAAAGGTGTAAGAAAGAGTGCTCTTCACCAGTCATCTCTTTATTAGGTGAGGACTCAGATCTACTGCCTAGGCCATGCTCTTGAGTGGATTTTAGAAGGCTTCTTTCTATGATCTCCCACTCATTTTTGGCCCTTCTACATCTTCTTGGATTTGATCCTGAAACTGAGTAACCCATGCTTGAGGGAACACCAGTGCTTAGAGCCTGATCTCTTGTCTCCTTATCTTGAGTCTGAGGTTTGTAACTCTTCTCCTGGCTTGAGAGTTCTATACCAAATGTAAAAAGAAAGAGAAATACGTGTACTTTAGGCTGCTTTAGAATTCTGAAAAGAGTACTACTCTTTCCTGGTCATGTTTGCTACCAAATTCCCTGGTATGTAGAAGCAACTACGCAGAGGACATTCCCCTTTTCACGTATCAATTTAAGCCATGAGAAAAGATATCAAAGGGAAATTTCAACCTTATGAGTAGATAGTCCTGAGCTGGCTCATTAGCACTTCATCAGTAGTCTGGTCGACCATTAGGTGTGAAATTCAAAAAGAGGCAAAATGTGATCTTGTAACAATGATTACATTTGAGAAACCTGGCTGGATCAGGAGCAAAGGGAGTGCCTTTTATAAATGCCTTTTATATTATTATTTTGTGTATGTGGGTATTTTGTATGCATGTACGCCTGTGCTCCACATATGTGCCTGGTGCCTGGTGTCTGTGGAGGCCAGAAGAGGGCATAAGATCCCTTGTAGCTGGAATTACAGATACTATGAGCCTCCAAATTGGGAAATTATACCCGAGTCCTCTGGAAGAGCACCAAGTAAGTGCTCTTAATCTCAGATCCCTCTCTCCAGCCCAGCAAGGGGATTTTTTTTTTTTTTACTTTCTGAATAGTATTTCTATTTTCTATATAGTACTTATCCAAACTTCTTGGAATTTTATATTATATGGATTCATGCTTTTTTTCCCAGAAAAAAAAAAAGTCAAATTATTTGAGAGGTTAGGATTATGCGCCCCCCCCCTTTTCATTTTTACCTTCTTGTCTTAAAACAATCCTGAATAACACACATGTAAAGCAGTTCTCTGAATACATGCAAAGCAATACTCCAAGGCCTCAGCAATTCCATTTGTGAGACTACTCCTTCTAGGACCTTTTCCTAAGCAACTCAGTTTGATCTAAGCAGCAGAGCCCCAGTGGCTTCTCTTCCTTCACAGAGATTGTATATGGAGTACCACCTAGTGGTTGCATGTGCAGCCTATGGCACAAGGAAGAGTGTGTTAAGTCCTTTCTCAAGCAGGCCCTTCCTGTGGAACAGCAACCAAGCTACCCCAGGAATATGGACTCAGTTCTATCCCCACGTGTGAAAGGGACAACTGTGGAAAATGATATTATACTCTTAATGTACGTCCCTTTTTTTCTCCCTCCCTCTGGTCCTTCTTTGTAAGTCTTTTTTAGTGTTTTTTTTTGGGGGGGGGGAGGAGTTGGAAAACATGCTTAAGGAAGTCTCATCTCTGAAACTACATGCGAAATCATCTGTGGAAAAATCTTGACAACCATCCAACCTAATTGATGAAACCAAAATTTCATTTAGTCAGACATTGCATGCAATTAGCTTGCCATCGAGTTAACGCTGAAATCTGTCTAGGCACACAGACAAGCACACAGAGACTTTTTCACTCTGGCAGCATTTGTTTGGAAAGTGGTCAGGTGACAGCTGCCAAGGTTATTTGCCTGCAGCTGTGCAAATCTCTGGTAGCTGTGGATATGTGAAGTCATTATGGACACAAAACCTTCTCTATACTAGAAGAGAAAGGTAACTCTTATAAAAATAATTTGAGAGGAAGCAGTTTGGCTGTTCCTATCTTGTTATGTTGTTGAGGAAGAATACTGAATAGGGCCATCACTGGCTGCACTCTGTAGAACTCAGCCAGCATATTAACTTGAAAGAATTAAACACACGTACAAACAAAGCACATCTCTGGCTGGAAATTGGTTTAGCTAAAATAGAAAACCATGTTTTCATTTACACAAAAAAGAAAACCTTTTCTGCAAAACCCGTACAAACTTTGTTTTTACTAGTTCGGGTGGAGAATCTCTGGTGGTACTTATGTGAACCTCTTCTTAATTAAAAGTTTTGGTTATATGATTCCTAAATTATGTATATGGATATGGACTTCAGAGAAGGTCCTTATACCTGTTCACTAGTAAGCTAGGCAGAATGACAGAAGGGTTGCACAAAGTCTCCCATAGTGGAGACCCTGCCTCCTTGGGTTTTGGTGAGGTGTCCAGGGTCCTAATACATGCACAGGCTTTTACTATTTTTTTAATTATGTGTATGGGTATGTGCACAGAGTTGCCCACAGAAGCCATAGGTGTCAGATCCCTCCCGCCCCCCGCTGCTGGTTTTACAGCAGTTGTGAGCTTCCTGACTTGAGTGCTGAGACTCAAACTAAGGTCTTCTGAAAGCAGTACATGCTCTTAGTTATTGGATTCTCTCACCAGTTTGCTTGTTTGCATCTGACACTGAAAAACCCCAAGAGCATCCAGGGTAGCAGTCCTGAGGTCATTTTTGTTTATAATTCCCACCACACTGCACTGTGCAATGAAGCCCAAGATCCACTGGCTGGCAGTGAAGGGATGCTAACCTGTGCCGTCCCTTTTCTGCTCCTTTTGGTCAGCTTGTTTCATCTTCACTGTAGTCTTTTCTTTGGATGGTAGTGAATGCTGCTGCTCTTCCTGCTTTACTTTCACCTGAAACAAAGGTTTTTTAAAAGACCTTTTTACTGATTGGCATGGTTCTCAGACTTTTTCATGAGTGAGCTAGGCAGAAAGCAGAAAGCCAAAAGAGTCGCACAAAGTCTCCCAGAGCAGACAGCCTACCTCTCTGGGTCGTGGTGGTGTGTCCAGGGACCCAGTGCATTATAGGCCTTGGCCCCTAGGTTACCATACTTGCTTCTGGAACAACTCTCAACTCATTTTTTTTTATTTTTCTTTTTAGTTACATTTTGTTTCAACTCATTTTTAATCCATGTCTTAAAACAAATTTGAGATGTCTTTTTCACTTTTATTTTTGAGATTGTAATATCATGACAACACTTCTGCATTCTCCTCCCTCCAAATCCTTCCATGTACTCCTCCTTGTTTCCTTTCAAATTTACGGCCTTTTTTCATTGTTATTACATGAATATGTGTAGGTGTATATCATATGTATTTATGTGTTCCTATATAGTACCTGCTTTGCTTGATCCATATAACATTACTTGTATGTGTATGTTTTTCAGGGCTGACCATTTAGTATTGAATAACCAATCTGTGTGTTTTTCTCTGGGGAAGATGATTTCTCCCAATCTCAGTATTTTTTAGTTGCCTATAGTTCTTTATGTAGGCCTGATGCCTCTTGGGCTTTCTCCCATCTATTTTGCATGTCTATTGATGTGTTCAGGTCATGTTTAGGCAGTCATGCTGGTGAGACTTCATGGGTGTAGTTTCTGAATGGTAGAGGCAACTTTGGATGAGTGGCTGAATTATTTGTACTTTCATGCTCTCCCCTGTAAGTTATTCGTGCTATCCAGTCTCCAAGTCTATTCCATCTACTTTAGTGCAGAATACCCGAAGAATTAGTTGAGTGTTTGACTGGCTAATTATTTTTGTAGAACACACATCCTTTTAAACGCCGGTACCTTTGATTTCTTAACTTTAATTGAAAATTTCTTCCAAAATCATCAGTCCTTTGTCTTCTTTTTTCAAGGATTTTATGACACTCATTCATCTGTGTGCATATGTATGTGTGCATGCTCATGGGCAAACGTGTGTGTATGTGCCACAGTGTGCTCGGAGAAAAGAGGACAACTTGCAGGAGTCAGGGCTCCCTTTTTATATGGGAGCTAGGGATCAGACTCGGGTCCTCCCACTTCATGACAAGCAGTTTACTTAGCATACCTGTTCTCGTGTGATTTTAAAGAATTTTTTTCATATTTATTTCTGGTTTTGTTTTAATTATATATTGTGGTGTGTCTCTGTATGGGTATGTGCACATGTGACTGCAGGTATGTAAAGAGTCCGGAGGAAAACATTCACTCACTCAAGCAGGAGTTACAGGTAGCTATAAGCTGCCTGACATGGGCGCTAAAAACCAAAGCTGGGTCCTCAGGAAGAGCAGTATGAGTCATCAACCACTGAGCGATCTCTCCAGACCCCATTGCCATGATTCTAACTTACTAGCTTTGCCTAAATATATCTCTGCTTGCCAGTAACTCAAGTGTCAGAACTCTGTGGCAATGTGTGGAAGTCTTTGGAAGAGTTGGGAGCTAAAATCTGAATGATTGAAGTTCCTGAAAGCCTCCTCGGAAAGTGGAGCGGTGCAGTAGTTTATAACTCATATGTCTTCCATGAACAATAAGTCAGAGAATCTTTATCGAGACTAGAATTGAATACTCCCTGCAGAGAGGACTCAAGGGATTTCCAAACACTAAAGCAATAAGCATGTTGTGCAGGGTTAACTCTGTTTCTGCTTTCTTCATTCCCTTTATAGAAAGTTCAAACACAGGACTTTTCATGTAACCAGCACAAGCTTGCTCACCCACTGCAAACACCAAGACTAGGACAGTGCCGTGTGCAATAATATCCCTACTTAAGGAATGGATCACTCATCAACTGTATCCAACCTTTGTCTCTCAGGCAGCACATGGCCACACATGACCAAGGATATCTATGAATGTGTCCCAACCCAAAGCAGCAAACTTCAAGCATTATGAGATATTCTGGGCATCTTTTTTTTTTTTTTAATTCAGTTGCATGGTTCTAAAGTGTGAACTTTGTAGATAACAATGCCATGGCATGGCAGAGTGTCAGATGTTTGGGTACATTTCTACACATATAGTTTCCTAGCAGCAGTGGGCATAGGCTAGACCTTGTCTTTTCTAAAACGGTTTAATATGGGGTCTCTTGAAAGACTTACAGATGTGGAAATTGTCTTCTTCTTCTTCTTCTTCTTCTGTTTCCGGGGGTTTAAAGATATCTTTTGTTTAGCAGCTGAAGAATCCAAGCAACCACGGGAGGTGGCTGGGGTGCTAAAGTGTGAGGGCTGCTGAGTGCTGCTTTGAGAGGACTGGGCTAGCTCAAGATCCGAAGACATTTCAGAGACACTCTGGAGAGTGGGAGAGAATAAGTGAGTAAATCCGTACAGATGCTACCACTGTTCTGGAAGCCAGTAATGCTTCCTTCTCGCTGGAGAATGCCTGAGGAAACTTTTCATGGACGACTGCACTTTTTCTTGCTACGTTCACTTTAAATGCCACACTTCCATTCCTTTGTAAATGAAAGCAAGAAACAGGAAGAAATTTAGGGGGGGGGGCCTCCTTCATTCAGAAAGCAACCAGCAATGCCAACCAGCAATTAGAATGTCAGCACACAGTGGAGTTTGCAAGGTGTAATGTTTGTATGTTTTCTTGTTCCATTTCCCTTCTTACTGACAGGAAGACATCTGGCTAGAAAGAGAGGTACATACTGGGGGACGGTGGCCTCAGTGGAGCTCTGGGGTCACTGTGTTGGAGAGTTAGGTGGAGGAAGAAAATCCAGCAGGAAGAAAGCATGTTTGCAAGTGGTATTTTCATACAGAGCACAATAAGCTTATTTATATTTACTGTTCATGGGTAAAAGGCTGATGGGAAGACTCCAGGAACTGACTTTCCCAACTCTAATGAATCATGGTTGGCTCTATCTCCCCAAACTATTTGGTTCTGGGACACCTAGTTCCATTCCTTGGCAGGAACTCTAAAATAGTCCCAAGGGGGGATAAAGGTACATAACATTTCCTATACCTCCAAGATTCATACCAGAGTTCACCCACCCCAATGTACCTGCAGAGAAGTCACATTAAATAGCAGGTGATGAGTCATCTTGCTCCTGGACATCAGTAGCAAATAATGCCACATTATTCCCTTTTTGTTTACCCACTAAGTCCTTTTCAAAGTAGTGTTCCACAATGCCAGGGACCCCTTGGTAAAAGGCAGAGTTCACATGAACCTACATTTCCGACAAACATTGTATGCTGATGCAAGGATAACGTCAGATGCTTATCTTGGCTCTAAACATGATCCTTTTATGGTCTTCCATTTCAGCATCTGGGGGCTGACCAGTGCTAATGGGTCAGGATGCTGATAAACCTAGATCACCTTTCTGATCTCACTTCTAATCATGGCAAGAGGAATATACTGCATCTGTTGTGTGGGATCAATCACTAACACTATAGCAGTGGCCTCAAGATTTTAACTCTTCCTTTGTTTTTGTTTTTTGTTTCTCTGTGTAGCCTCAGCTGCCCTGGAACTCACTCTGTAAATCAGGTTGGCCTTAAACCAAGAGATCTGCCTGCCTCTGCCTGTTTCTGCCTCCTAAGTGCTGGGATTAAAGTGTGTGCCACCACTGCCTGGCTTTTAATTTTAATGCAACTGTCATCCATTAATTTATAAATACCTCTTCTCAATATAATTTATTTGGCTTACAATTACTAATTGAATACTCAGCACATAGAATTATATCCCTTGTTTTTATTGCTCTGAACTTCTTTTTTGCATAAAGGTCATCTTATGGTTCTGGTCTTTTAGGAGTGTATGGTAACATTTATACCAAAGTTAACCTCACATGATACATCTCCCTCTTGCTTCCCTGACCTCATCCTTCTACCATTTACTGATCTAGACACACTGCTGATTTATTGTTCTTCAAACAGTCTAAGCACGCTTTCCAGAGTCCTTTGTACTGATGAGCATGTTATTCACTGTGTCCATGTAGCTAGCTCCCTCACTTATGTAAGCTCCCGACTCAGAATCTGTCTCCTTATGGAAGCTACTTAAACATTTCAGCACTGGTGTTGGGGGGGTTCAAGTGGTGGGCTTGCCCATTTGTGCATTCCTGAAGACCAGAGATCAATACATCAGTGCTATTCCTCTATCACTGTACACTTTTTTTTTTTTGAAACAAGGCTGTTCAATGAACTTAGAGCTTGCCACTTTGGCTCAATTGTCTAGTGAGCCTGGGATCCATCTGTACTTGTCTCTCTGCCCCTAGCACTGAGGTTACAGATATGTGGGCTGCCAGACATGTTTTCTCCACAGGTTCTGAGCTCAGGTCCTTATGCCTGCACAGCAAGCATATTAACCACCGAACCCTCTCCCCAGCTCCAGCTCTGACATTTTACAATCCTCTTTCTTGCACTGTTTTCCCCCTAGCACTATTATCACTGTATTATTTATGTTTTCTTTACTCATCTTTTTCATTGTCCATATTTCCCATTACAGTTTGAACTCCACAATGAAGAGTTTTTTTTCTATTTATTTTGGGGTCTGTGTGCACATGCCTGCAAGCATAGGCTAGGGAACAAGCTCAGGTGTTATTCCTTTGGGTGCTAGCTGTCTTTTCCTTTTGAAAGGAGGTCTCTCACTGGCCTGGAACTCATGAAGTAGGCTAGTGTGGGTAGCCAGCAAGCCTCAGAGATCCACGTTTGCTCCTCTCCAGTGCTGAGATTATAAGTGAATGCAACCACAGCTGGCTTTTTCTTTTCTTCTTAAAAATGAATTCTGAGGGTCAGACTCAGGTCCGTGTGACTGCAAGACTGGCACTGTACCAACAGAACCACTTGCCCACACTTCACTTCTTTTTATATTGTGTGTCTGAGGGCACAGTTGTTGTTCACTGATGATTTGAACTGGTAAATTAATTGTGTTAAAGGCCGCCACCAGGTTTGCCTGTCTAAATATTGGTCAAGCAAGCTCTTCTGTTCCCTGTGTCACTTTAGTCATTCTGTCTAAAGCTTCACTATTTTCGGTTAAAAGAACATCTAGGTTTATAAATCCTAAAAAGATACCATGCAACTTGCTTTGTATGAAAGCCAGCTCAGGATACCTAGATGGTAAACCATACAGACCAATTTTCATTCAGTTGGCCTCCCCAAACCTTACAGTATGAAAGATTTATTCCAGTGACACTCATTCTATAGTATAACAGAAAGATCAGGCTAAGCAAAAACCTGTTCATTTCCTTATTGATATGTTCAAGATTAAGTTCATTCATTCCCAGTTGCAGTCAGATCTAATCACTGACCTACATCTAACATCCAACCTGAATTAAAACTACAAGAAAAGCACCTGACTAAGGGACCTTGCACTCATACATTCAATTCAAACTAGCCCCCAGAGGCATAGTGTGTTGTGTGGATGGAGTTTATTCGGATTTTAGTATTTCCTTAAGCCCATCAGTGGGCTAAAAAATTGCTTATACTCTGGAGGTCTGGACAGTATTTCTTAATATAGTTTTCAAAAACACCCTCCCAATATTAAAATCATCCAGAAGAGGGTGGTGAGGGACATGTCAAGACCAGACAGTAGCTGGGGGTATAGCTCAGTGCTAAATACATGTGTGAAAGGTCCTGCATTCAATCCCCAGCATCCAAAACAAAATAAAACAGAACTGGAGGATAAGAATATCAGATGAATTACCTTAGAATGACTTGATAAACTCGCCAAGGGGGTATTTTAGGGCCAAAATAGAGAACAAGAACCATAACTCATTTAGCACATCTTCAAATCAAAGCACATGGAGTGCATAAATAATCCCATCAATTTTCTTAGAACAAGATGCAGGAATTTATGAGTTTCTTCTGGTTCCTTCTTAGGCCCCATCTCTTTCCTCAGCCATATTGTTTAGTACCTCCCTAGAAGAGTTACCAAGGAAGTCAATCATAAGATATTATGAGTTGGAGTCCAAGATGGCAACTGCCAGTGCACACAGTTTCTGATGGGCAAAAGATCTGAAACTTGAAAACTGGTGAGTGGATGGGTGGCTAAAGTCAGAACATTGACTTTTGAGGCTTCCTGGCCTAGAGAAGACAACCCATGAGCTGGGACAGATTGGATCCAGCTCCCCCACCCCCGTGATTGTCTCCAAGGTCTGAGAGTGGCAAACTATCGACCCCCTTCATGTTCAGCAGCACCTTCCCTTGCTCTGCTTGTCCTGGCTGTGCGGCTGCGGTGGGGAGTGCCTAACCTCAGGCACGGGGCACTTCCTTACTCTAATGGCCAAACAGGGGACCTAAATCTGAGAGTGGAAAACTGTGGGCACACTGACATTACCTCATATACCTGCAAGTGAGTTCGCGGGCCCTCGCCGCTTTGCACACCCACCTGCCACCTGCCACACTTTTGCAAGGGAGTAGATACAGAGCCCCAGAGAGGTGTCCCTCTACACTATTAGTCATAACATAAGATCCCTCCCACCCACACTCCCACTGTAGGCAACATAGGTATCTCTGGGACAGCACTGTCAACATTGAAGCCCCTGTTCTGTGAGTCTCTCAGTGGAGTCCAGCCAAACAATCCCTGGAAACAAGATGTTACTGCTCAGGCAGATCTAAGTTCTTGGAGCACAATGATGAGACAGGCCTATGGGCCACTGAGCCATTCACTACATCTGCACATGCACAATGCACCTGCCAACAACCAAAGACAACTGCACCACAACCTGCACCTGAACTCCTCCCTTACACTTCATCCTTCCAGGCAGTCACACCTCCACACTCCTGTCCTTGTGTGCTTGCACACTTGCACCAGTTATCTTCCTTCATTAGCTGCATCTGAAACACCCACTCTCAAACTGGAGGATGTCGCTCATCTTCCTGAAGAATACTCTAGACTCCAGAGACAGATGGACCCAGTGTGAAGTACAGGCTCCAGGAAGAAACAGAAAAGGGTATGGACCATCAGAGGGCTAGAAGCCAGCATAAGAACACATCCAACAAAAATCAGGATATTGTGGCTGCATTAGAAACCACCAAAATCAATGGATATTTTAATTCATTGGAAACACAGGAAAATGAGTTGAAAGCTATGCTTATCAAGTTATTAGAGACATATAAAGAAGAAATGAACAAAACTCTCAAAGAAATACAAGCAAACACAGCCAAACAGAGGTACAAGTAGTGGTATAAAGAGAGGAAACAAACAAAAAAAATTGAGAACAACATGGAAAGAGAGGAATCCACTTTCAAACAGATGAAGGAAATGGTGCAAGATATGAAAACAGTTAGAATCAATAAAGAAAACACAAACACAGAAAATCCTGGAGCTAGAAAACTTAGAGAAAAAAAAAAAACAG